GTTAATGGGCAGTTGGGCTGTTTCCAAGATTTTTAGCTATCACAAAGTGTACCTTTATAAATGGGTCCACATAGATTCCCTGGGGTATGACTATTAGTTTTTACATTTATAAATTCATTTTTCTAGGACTTTAACAAATTTTGTAATGATTTCTTTAACTCCATCATAGTTCTTAGTTTTTCTCTTAGTTTTACCACTGTTATTACTAACTCTCTTTGGAGCCATGGTTACAATATTTCATACAAATAAAGTGCAAAAAAAAAAAAGCACTGTGACGAGTGTGGTAATGCACTAACACAAGCACTGTATGTTGTCTGGGTGAGAGCGGCCCTTAGACTGAAGCGTCGGCCCTTTGTGTCTGCAGCGAGATACAACACGCTACTCACGGCCTTTTTTTTTTCCCCCTTGGTACCAGGGATCAATCTCAGAACCTTGTGCTTTGGAGGCAGGCGCTCTGCTGCCACTGAACTACAACCCCAACCACCAAAAGTCAGATTTTTGGTGATTATAGAGCACTGTAAAGAACACCTAGCAGATTTTTTTTCCCCCCGAGTAGTGGAAAGTTCGAGCTTGGAGCCCTTTGAACCCAGGTGTCACTGTAATGGAAATTAAAACTAAAGCAACAAGTGCGAATTACAGGTAGAAGGTTTAATTGGAAAATAAGAGACATACGAAGAGAATGTAGCTTGTGTCGAAGCCAGAGAGGGCGCGCTGTGAAGAGAATCTGTCCTGCCCACGCACAAGCACAGAGACTCACGTTATGGGACGCCGTGGTGGGCTGGGGTCCAGTCAGTCATTACCTCAGTCCTGGTTTGTGGTTCTGGAGGAATATAGCTTCAGGGTACTCCGTCAGCATGGGTTCAAGTGTCGGGTGGGGCATAGATACACCTTGGTTCAGTAGCGCTGAAACTCAGAGCTGCGGCCGGAGGCCAGGTCTGTGGACACAGCTAGATCTGTGCTGGCCACTGGCCAGCGAGGCCCCCAGGTCTTCATCAGCTTCGACTGCAGGTGCAGGGCCTCTGACAGCGTGTTCCAGGAACGGGTGCCCTGTTTACTGTGGTTTCAGTCTCAAGGCTCTGCTTTTCTGGGACCCCGATGACCACCAGTTTAGCACAATGACTGGAAACTTCCGAGTATCGCCCCAGGGAGAGGGTCTGGAAGTAGAAAAAGCTGGTAATCAGATGTCCCTGGGTTGCTTTTTGTGTTCTCTGTCTTGAAGGGGGACGACAAGCTAGGTAAACTGGACTAATAAACTTTGTTGTGTCAGCTTTTAGATAACACTCCCTAAATGACTGATGCGCCTATATCCAAAGTTTTGAGGAAAGATATACAAAATGAGAGCCAATCTTTGTTCTCCCTTTAGTTACTTATTGGGCATTTGTAGGCTGAAGTGAAAAGTCATAGATTTAAGAAAAATAAAACACTTTAAAGACCCTGATTATCTCATAAGAAAATACAGCTCATGCTTTCGATGAGTAACAGGTTGAGGACCTAGGAGTTTGTTTGTCCTTTGTCCCTATGGTGTTCTCTGACCAAGTCAGACCGGTGGACTGAGTCTTGTGCTATCTTGCTCAGGTGAGCAGTTATGCAAGATGAAAAATTCTAGAATCTGAAGGAGGGTGTTACACATATTCTCTGCATCTGGGAAGACGATTTGCTTCCATTTGCCACCTTTTGGAAAAGTTTATTTTTCACACACACACACACACACACACACACACAAATAGAACTCTGGAAGGCAGAAGTAAAAGGGTGAAAGATCTAAAATAATGTACAAGCTATAGAAATGGCCCTTGAAGCATTATTAATTGAACGAATTTCCCACATGTTCCTGTTCTTAGTCCCTTATTCACTGAGCTGAGTTTTGTCTTTGAGCTCTGCTGAGAACCCTGTGGGGTTCCATGCTCACTAGGACTCCGAGCTTCTTCTTGACTTTCAGAGTTGGCCTGGGATGATGGTAGCTCGAGGTGAAAATGTCTTCATTTGAACCATTTCAGCTACCCTTTTGAAGAATGAATTACATATAAGAAAGGGAATGACAGGGTCAAGCCCAACTTTGTAGCCAGAACCAAGAGATTCTGAGCCTGGAGTCCTCCCTACCTGGGACGTTCAGGCAGAAAGTAACAAAAGTTTCCCCCACAAAGTTCAAGACATAGTATAATACTAGTGTAAAGCAAATATATTTTGTCAGTTTTATAACAGAACAGAGTGATGCCTATAAGATAACTTGCCTATGCAGCTAGTAAATAGAAGGGCTAGGGGTTTAAACTAGATCTTCTAGACTGTAAACCAATTTCTCTCACCCACTCTAACGCCATAACCCAAAGAGGAAAAAAACCACCTGTAAGGCCTTAGACAAGTTTAGAGACCTGGTGACAAGTGGAAGGCAGAGCTCAGAGTTCGGAACTGGGCAGAGGCGGGATCAGAGCTAGGAGCCGCTTGCGGGTAAACCAGAGGGACAGTGGTCGTGTGCTTCTGCAGTATGCTCTCGACTTCACCTCATCTGCATCTGGGCTGTGAGGATGCCTGAGGGCCAGGCAGGTAGACTGGTAACACTGGAGTGCCCGACCCTGGCAGCTGATGTGCATCCACTAGATTGAAGCCAGGGGCAGTGACGGCCTCAGGCTGTCTAGCAAGGGGGATCCCTGAAAAGGAAGGTGTGTGCAGAGCTGTAGAGCAGTTGATGTGCATCCACTAGATTGAAGCCAGGGGCAGTGACGGCCTCAGGCTGTCTAGCAAGGGGGAATCCCTGAAAAGGAAGGTGTGTGCAGAGCTGTAGAGCATTGTTGCGGATTCAAGGTGCTGGGTGCTCCTGCTTTGAAGTCAGACTGTTTCCCAGCTCGGTGACTGTAGGTCGTTACTTAATTTTCTCAAGACTATTTAGTCATCTGTAAGATAGAAACGTAACTTAAATTCTGTTCTGAGACGCCATCAGCTAATTCACATAGTATTTGGCATAATCCCTGGAACATAGCAAGTGTTGAGTAAATATTAGCTTTTATTATTAGTCTCAGGTCCGCAGTCTTAAAGCCTGGACAGGAAAACCACAGTTCTCTTTGTAGGCAGCAAAATATGTTAGCTGACCTCCACTTGCCTCCAGATGTGGATCTTGTGACCCTGTGGGCTTGGTTCCTCCCTTATCTCATCACTGCCTTTCACTGGCTTATGTATAATTCTGTACCATTGAGAATAAACTGTAGCTGCCTCATTATGATGAGCAGTGTGAAGTGGTTCCTCTAACCAGGCAAGAGGACAAGTGACACTCTAAATGTACCTGTAATTTGCCTTTTAGAGTTGGGCTGATTTGGCTAAAGTCTCAACCTTGCCCCATGGTTTAGCAAGATAAAGCATACTTTAGAACTTCAGTGTTGCTGGGGATTGAGCTCAATGGTGCCTCCACGTGCCTCCCAAGCTCAAGGACCCAAGTTGAATCCATGGTACCAAAAGGGGGGGGGTAGAGAGAGAGAAAATGGCAATAGTAAAATCAACTTCATGGATAGGTTGTATGTCAGACCTGGCAGCAGGTGCAGGATTCCTTTCTGAGGACAAAGCACCAATATTAGAGGAGATTGCATCACCTTTAGCCCTCAGGCTGAAGCCCCCTCCCAACTTGCAGAAGTGGTTCAGTGGCCCTGCTTCAGCAGAGAAAGCTGCCCTCCACCTTCACAGTTTACCTCATTCTCAGTCCCACATCTAGCATTTCTTACCCAAAAAGTCAGCTCCAAGCTATGCCCAAGATCTCCCTGGGTTCATTTGATATGTCAGCACTTTGTTTTTGAAGAAAAGCTGGGGTCAGTGGTGGGGACACTGTGGAGGAAAATCCTGTTATGCTGATTGGCAGGCCTGTTCCATCGCTCTCCTCCTACCCTAGTGTCCCACGTGATCCTCTTACAGAATGTCTTATTGAAGACCACTGCAGCTGGTCCCTGTGGAGGCACGGACTACCAAGGACCTTGGGCATGCCTGGAGCACAGCTCTGCAGTTCTGCTCAAAGGCCGGTGGTCAGGTCTGCCTTCTCTTGATGAAGGGCTTTTCCTTATAACAACTGCTAGATGCTCCTGGCCTTAACCTTGCAGAGAGAAGAGCAAACAGTCTCACTGAGTGACCCCCTACTATGTTCTAGACACTTGAGGGGGATCTTAGTCATGATCATAGCCTCCAACCATGCCAGGAAGGTCTTATTGCAGTCCCTACTTTACAGAGGAGAAGCAGAGGTTAACTAATTTTCCCACACCATACAGCTGAAAAGAGCAGAGTAGGAATTCAAACAAAGTCTGCATAAATTGGGAACCCATTACAATATGCAGTCTCTTAAGGACAGTGTAAATAACAAGACCTTCAGTAGCATTTTAGAGAGGAAGCAGGAAGTGGGCTTGTGATTCTCTTTGTTCCTTCAACCAATGTGGGAGTAGTAGTCATCAGTTAGGAAATCTGAGTGACTCTAACCACTTACCAACAACAACAAAAAATAACCCCTAACTCCCCTTCCTTAAAGAGGCCAACTGGGAATGAGTGTGATGCGGAGTTGTAGTTTGTTGTTCAATTTGCCCACCTCAGAAGAAAATGTTCCTTGAGAAAAATTTTAGATCAAAATTTGTGGATGGGTAGCCTGAGGGCCACATTTAAACTATAGAGACGTTTTAGTTTTAACCCGCAGTAATTTTTAAAAACTTCAAGCTAATTAACATTTAAAAAATGCAACAGGTACACACAAAACTCCAGATTTCAGAATTGTCTTGAGAAAGCAGAAGCTGTCACGAGCCTGGGCCTCTGTCCTCATTTGGCCACTGTTGGGCGGAGTGGAGAAGCTGCCCCTTGGACGTGAAGGTGGAAGGTTCTCTTCAGTTTGTTGCAGTCCCCATCACTCCTTGTCATCCTGGCAGGGAGTGCCAGTCTATCTGCAGGATAGCCCTCCTCCTGCCAAATTTCTTACTTTAGACGTAAGAGGAAAAGGAGTTTTCCGGCCATGGTTCCATGCCTTTCTCTCTCTGCTTCTCTAGGTGTGCCCTTTCCGAAGAACTTCCTTCAGATCTGCAAGAAGATCTTGTGCCGACTTTTCCGGGTCTTTGTCCATGTCTACATCCACCACTTTGACAGAGTCATTGTGATGGGCGCAGAGGCCCACGTCAACACCTGCTACAAACACTTTTACTACTTCGTCACAGAGATGAACCTCATAGACCGAAAGGAGCTAGAGCCCTTGGTAAGTGTCACTTGCACTAAGAGCACCTGAGTCATGCCCAGTGGCTGGGCCATTTGTCACAGTACACTGCCAGATGCATGGGATGTGCTGACTGATAGCTAGATGTTACCTGGGAGGCTGCGGGCAAGATGCCAAGATGTCCAGTGCTACCAAATAAACTACTGTCACATGATTGCCCTCTGAGAGGTGGTGTAATATAATGAATAAGAATGTAATGGTTTGGGCTAGAAGAAGTAGCTTCTATTCTCAGCTCATTCACTTACTTATCTGAGAATCTTTGATCTCTCATGTTATCTACCATTATTAGTCAAGGATGACCAAAAACATTCCCTCAGTAAAAGAATATTTAGCACCTACTATGTGCCAGCAACTAGGCCTACAAAGCCAAGTAAAAATGCCTTTGAGACAGGGAATAAAGTCAGCCCTGAAGAAGAATATAATATCATAGGGACTTTGCTCCTGACACTCAGTCTTCTGTTAAAGAGGGTATATTTGAATCTAAAATATCCAGGATCGATCTCTAGTATCACTGTATGGGTGAAGGGGCCAGTTGTATTTTCTTTATACATAGGAGTTTTGTTACTATTGAACTCAGTGTTTGCTTTTGAAGTCCAGGCCTCTAAAAACCCCATCACTTTTCTCATAGGTGAGGCTTTAATATTCATGTTTTCATTACAACTGTTTCTATTTCAGCTGGATAGATGGCTCTGTGTAATACTTTCTTGTTCTGTAGAAAAGAATAAAATTAGGCCTTTTCATGCTAAATATGGCTGATAAGAGCCACTAAGTTTCATCCAAGTCCATTGGAATAATGGCCAGAATGCCAGGGCCAGGATGTCTGCCTTTGCTAACCTGTATCTCTTTCTCTTTATTGTTTTAAATTTCAGCTTGTATTATTAGGTACATGTAGGCCCACAAATCAGATGATACCATTGAAAAGATAGCTTCTATACTCACATATCCCAAGAGAAAAGGTCGTGCTATACCACCAGCAGCCACGTGGGGAAGCACTGGGTCAGTGAGGAATGGAGCAGGGAAAACATGGGCAGGAGCCCTGTTGGAGTTGCCATGTGAAGACACAGGCATGGGAGGGTAACCAGGCTTAGGGTTGACTAATTTGAATAATGTCAGCAGGGTCTGGGGCATAGGGGCTCCCCCTAGTAAACTGATGCCTGTGTTAATGTGAAAGCTGAACGGAGGAGGTGTCTGGGGCCTGGGCCTGGATTGGCTGGTTTGCATGGGTTGGTTACCAGGTTGATGATGGGTTGATTACAACCTCTAGGTTTTGGCTAGCTCTAGGAGGGACAATCCTGTGTCAGCAAGATCTCAAATGTTAAAGAATCAAAATTCAAAGCTTAAAAAATGTTTAAATCAATATAGTATCTGTATCTGGCAAAGAAGGTGTTGGTGAATTTTATGTCACCTTCAGAATTTCTCAGGTCACAATCGGGAGTACGTGACACAAAACACGATGCTTTGTATCATTCAATTATTCTGGAGCAGAGCAAGACTTTTGTGTGAAGTTGAGATGTTTCTTCAATCACTGGCTAACGGAGAGCTAGTTTCCTTAATTATTTTCATACTGATCTTAGCCAAAAGGCTGAGAAGTGATTCCTTCATTTTTTTCATGATGCCTTACTAGAAAACTCTTGGGCCAGGGACTGGGTTGTCATTGGACAACTCCTGTGAAAAGAAACAAAATCTTCTGACATTTTGCTAGTTTGTCTTTTATAAAGGCTGTTGGGTTAACTACCTCTGTGAAGAGAAAAGGTTATACAAACAACTCAAAGGAGTTGAATGACTAGAAGTGGTTGATAAAGCTAATTTCAGAAAGTGTTAAGGCCACACACACACACACACACACACACACAAAGAAATGAAAAGAAAAGAAAAGGAAAAGTGGAAAGGAACTGTGCAAACGAAGAGGTAGGGGGTGACCACTGCAATCTCATAGATGTGGCTTCTTCGGAGGGTTTGAGTTCAGTTCTTTTCGTAGGCCTGCGCAGGGAGAAGGAAAATACCTTCCCCAAAAGCCTGCCATAAGGAAGAGGCTCTTCCAAGCACTCATACTTTCAGTTTTATTGAGCTAAAGGAACAGAAACATCAGATGGCTAAAGCAGAAAGACAATTTCTCCTTTATACACAGAAGCATAAAGGCCATTGTAAGATAAAGCTGAGTGTAAGTCAACAAGCAGATAAAGTCTTTCTTTGCTATCAAAAACCTCTCAGTTATTTTCTATAACTGAAGAAGGGCTCCAAGGATTCTAGCACCTGGCAGTGCCAGGAGCTGACTTGAAATCTCGGAGTCATAGTCAGTCCTTGAAAGAGCCAATATTCTAGATAAAAGCCTCTGTGTGTGCCTGGGAGAAAAACTATGATTAGATTAATCATGAGTTAAAAACAATAGTGAATAAGCGTGGTATGTTTTTCCTCAGAAGCATATATTTCTTTAAATCTTGCTTAAAACAGTATCCTTCCTATGCTTACATTTTGCTATAGTTACAGAAAAGATTAATTTTAGTATTAATTTTTTAAATGCTGAATTGTCTGAAATTATGTATTTGCTTTACACAAACCCAAACCCACAAAACATAAAGATAGGTACTGAGAATATTTATGAGAGCATTAGTTATATGATGTCAGACTCTGCTTATTTAGCATATCCAGTATCCTCTAAGAGTGTTTCATTTGTGGATCACTACTGCTGTCATTTCAGGAGTTGCTAGTTCCTGAGTGCTTAGTCTACTGTTGCAATGTACTGCACATACTGTGATGAGATATAGTATATTAAATCAATGCATTTGTATTTTATTTGCATACACTAAGAACTCTGCATGTACAAAGTAAGTTGCTCAGATATTCTACATGCATAAGAAAAATGTGCTTTTGAGAGATTGGCAATGTAGCCTAGATTATGTAAAATAATGAATGTCACTCATCTTTGGTCCTTAAATGGTAATGAAGTCAAGCTTTTGTCTCCACATTCTGGTGTACATTCTTTGGAATCTGATGCAGCTCGGTGCCAGAAGGGCCGCAGTTTCCTTTCGAATATCAACTTTCCCAGAGGTCCCACACCACTGGTGGGACATTCCTGGAATCACGTTTTGGGATTCCACAGTGTAGAACTTGGAGTCCCCCTCATACTTCCCTTCATGTTTCTACCGTGTACACTGCTCTGGTCCCAGAGCCCACCCAGTTGCTGATGTTGAATGAGAATCTGGCAGACCACAAAAGTAGACGATTCAGGATCATGCAGTGCATGGGACAAGAGGCTCTTTCATCTAGGAACTTGAACCTTGAGCAAGTTCTTTGGCTTTCAAAGCTGCATTTTCATCATTGTAGAGTAAGCAAGGTAGACTTGTAAAAGTAAAATGGTTTACTCGCATGGTAAGTGCATAAGAAATGTTGGCTATTAAAAAGTGGAATTACCTCAATTCTCCCTGCTCCAGTGCTCACTGCCTTTCCCTAGGTAGCCTTCCAGTAAATATAGTGAAACACATTTGTATCCATCCCTACCATCAGTTAGTTAAGGGCTGAGAGTATGCAGGATATAGGCCTGCATTTTCCATAGTACCTAGTACATTTCAAATATTTCGTATGTTTGTGAGTTGGGGAGAGCATTTTAAGGTTATGTCTCCATTCAGAGGGATTGCGCAGCAGCCGTTCCTTCACTGATGCCCCTCTTCGAACGCGCCTTCAGAGACCCTCACATAGACGTCTGCTAAAATGCGTCATCTTTTCTGATTTGCAGGAGGGATTGAAAACAAAATAAGGTACAGAACAGTGAAAGAACACATCGTAAGCTTTAGCCTGAACAGAGAACAATGGGACCACAATCCCCAGTCATTCTCTGTTCCAGATTTCAGAGACCACCCAGCAAATGTCAAATGCTCTCACCCTGCCTTAGGGTGACGAACCCTTCAAGTTTTAGCATTCAGACTCTCATGTCCTGGGAAGACCTTGGTATCAGCACACTGAGATGATGGTCACCCTCTCAGACTCCTGAGTGAGAATACAATCTAGAATTCAGAGGCTGAAAAGAAGTGAAGGCCAGCATGTCCTTTCACCTAGGATGTGCCTTATGACCCCCATTGGGACCTGCTGCTCAGCCTCTACAGCCAGCAGCTTGGGAGCCAGGCAAACACATGCTATTTCACTTGCTCTTCCTCCAGGCGGGGGAGACTGGCATATTGACAGACACAGATGTGACAGACCATCTATTTGTCATGTAAATGCCACAGCTGAAGATGACCTGAGCTCAAGCAAGTTCACAGTTGGAGGAAACAAGCCCAAATGATGCTGGTAATTGGAAAATAGGCCAGGCCTGATTGAATAAGCAGACTGGTGTTAGCCTTGGCTGCCTGGGAGTCAGCTGACAAAATTGAGCTAATCAGAATTATCATTAGCAAGCACAAATAGCCAGTAGCAGTTTTTTGGCCTTTCAGCAGAAACAAAAGCCAGCTCAGAGAGGGCTGTGAGCAGTGTAGTAACCTTCAGTGAAGAGCTGATTTGGCCTAGAGGAGATGGGCAAGGTGAGAACAGAGAGGAGGTTAGTTCACATTACTGCACCTGCTGACTCCTGTGTGACCTCGGCCCAGCGCTTCCCCATTCTCTCTGCAGGGCTCCATTTCCTAGTTCTAACAGTGAAAGTGATTATACTGTTGCTTCTGGGTCTGTTTTGTTGCCTTTTAGCAGGGTGCTTGGGCCATAGAAGCTTGAGTGAAGTCTGTTTCTCGGCAGGGGCCCACACACCACCCACATCAGAATCAGGAGGTATTTTAAAATGTGCACACCTGAGCTTCTTCCTGGGTATATGAATCAGAATTGCTGAGATTAGTGCCTGATACCAAGCACCTTCAGACAGCATCTCAAACTGTATTGTTTATAGGAAATACCTAGGAATCTGGCTCAAATGCTTGCTCTGATTCTGTGCTTGACAGGATGGCACTAATATTGATACTGTTGATACCAGACCACACTGAGATAGGAAAGATCCTACA